TATCGTCTCGGTTGACGATATGATGTCGAGCACTGGCGCAGGCGGTCTCAGACTGAAGTCTTCCTGTTCGCAATGTAAATGGCTTGTTCCTAATTAGGAATCTAGTTCAAGCCGGAACAGGTGAGGTCTTGACGGGACCATCCGCAAGACCCTGCCTGTTACCGAAACCAACGTATGTTCATCCACCGGGTTGGAACCCTATACAACTCGTGAGATGTCGTTTTTGTTGTGCGTAAGCGTGCACATCACGCTTTTTTTGGCATGATCTTCAAGAGTTCGGTTCGAGCTCTGAACTCAGCTCTAGGCGGCTCAAACGTTTGTCTGAGCCGCGACTTGAACTTCCAACGACCCAAACGCATATGGGTCGTGCAACCTGAACCCCCAAAGCCCAAGTCTTGGCACGTCCTGCCAGATTTGACTCCCCTGGGCAAAGGCAACTTGCATATCCTCGTCGTCGATGCGACGCGCCCTTATGGCGTCGTCTACACTTCGACGAACCATCTCAAGATGGAGTCCTCTTTGACTCCCCTATATCTTGGAGATGTCAATCTTCAAGGTTTCGGGTCGACGCGAGTGCATCGACCCACCAGCAGCATCCTGCTGCTATCTCAACAGTTCAAACTGTTGAGCACCCGGCCTCTCAACAACTCTGCTTGTTGAGAACCTTGCTGGTGAAGCAAGGCTACTTTCTCGCGCTCTGCGTCAAGTTCATTTTGAATGAACTTGGCGATAGTAGCATGTTGGACATCTCTATTGAGAGCCTCTAGCATGACGCTAACAGTATGGATGCCCATGGTTGAACCCATCCGTTCAACAGCATCCCATTCGACATTGCTCAAATGGGAGTAGCCGTCACGCGTAGCGTGAAAGCTGGTCATCTTCATCATCCAACATATTCATGTTGGATGTGAACGTGGTCCTTGGACGGACTACGAAGTGCTACCAGGTGTAACGGGGCACCCCCTGAAGCTTGTACTGATGACAGTACGGGCTACTTATTCTGATTCGGCAGAATAAGGCGGTGCCTCGGAACTTCACGTACACTGGTACGTGCAGAGGGGGAAGACGGTAAGAAGAAGCCAGTACTTACTTTAAGTAAAAAGTAGAACTGCATTTATCATAGTTAATGTCTGTTAATAAATCACTATTTATCTTCATCTAACTATGTCTAAATACAAATGTGTAAATCAATTATCTGCTCACCACTTATTGCGTGCGTCTGTCGTGGCGGCGTCTTCGTAGGTTGATATAATGGCCTTATATCAACCAATTAGGAACTACTCGTAAAGGGTGCTACAGGGAATATTTGTCCTTATGACAATATTCTGAGAATATAACTCTTACAGTTATATTATATTAACAATTTCTTACAAATTGTTATGTAGCGATTCACCCCGTTACACTGCCAGTGACCTAGATTGCCACGGAGGTTGTCCGTCACTTCTTTCCAAATGAATTGTAGAGAGCGCATTTCCTTCTCTAGCACTTGAATGCTACGGCCGGTGTGCTCGAAACAATGGCAAGTTCGTAAGTCATCCTGTGATACTATCGTAAATGGTAGCGCCACGTTGCCACTTTTAGTTAGTCGGCCAGTAGTTGTCTCCATCGTTGAATCTTGTAGTGCCATGCGTCCTTCCTGTAACAGTCCTTGCATGAGAGCTTTGGCCCGAGAAATGGTGTTGTCGAGCATGATTTATATGCACAGACAATTCCGTGTCCAGATGGCTTGGAGAGTATGGATGATGCCAAGTTTACAGTGCTCTTAAGGGAGTTCGTGACGCCAGCTTTGAATGTTAGTCCATAGCTCGCATGTTGATGGCCAAATAATGTAGCGACATTGGTCTGTATGGTCGAAGAAACGTATGGTACGTGTAACGGGGTAGCCCATTACATGAAATCGACACCAAACGGTGTCAGTAGAGAGATTGTCTAGCATGACAATATGGTACCAATGTTAGCCCAGGTAGGTAACATTGAGGAATATTATCCCTTTTCGGATAATATTCATGCGCTGCTCAAGATTAGTTGATATAAGACAAATCAATCATAGATTGCCACCAATCGCTGCTAGACGCACGCAATGAGTGGTGAGAAGGTTGTCGTCTTACGGCGGCGTAGTTTAATATAGTTATACAAAGATTAAAGTTATATTGATAGCTTAACTATACTAAATACAGTTCTCTTTTTACCTTTACTTGACCGAGTCGTTCAAGTAGATTAGCTTCCTCTGCACGTACTAGTGTACATGAAGTTTCGCGGCACCTAAACAAAGGGTGCTTCGTTACAGTAGGTGTACCCTGAAAATGTCAGCGAAGTCACGTCCTGTGTAGAAAGGCCAGGCCGTTTCCATAGATCATAAAGACGTTCCATAACACCTGTGCAGCTGAAAAGTCCGACTACTGATAATAATATGACGCGCAAACTACTTTATGCCCCGAGCAGGGATACGTCTGTGTGCGCCTCAGGTCGAGGTCACGTGCAACTTAATCCAAGGCCACAGTAGGGCATCCCAGACTGTTCAACCAGTGAGTTGTCGCGACCAGTCCCACGTGATCGTTTTCAGACCTGCCGCTATTGTTGCTTTGTCTGATGATCAAGCATTACCCCGGTCGTGTTGACTCACACAACCTCTTACTTTGGGCTGTTTGAAAGCTGCCAATTTGTAATGCGGCCGTGAGTAAATTGTGTTCTCCCGAGGTCGTCGATTCATCACTATGCTAGTTGATGTCTGGTTGTTAGGACTTGTTTATATTACACATAGTTCTCCTGCTCACTGCTGAAGCTGTGTTGCTGCCTCCGCCCCAGGACGAGGCGAAAAACGAGTGGGCGGGAGAGTGAGTGAGAAGGTGAGGGACATATAGATACGATTGCGACACAAGATGTCCTGCCGCGTGATAACAGTGTTGGCAGAGCGACGTCTAATTTTATACAATAGGAAGTACAGGTCCTTATACAGCCGAGCGCCTTCGCGCTGGGTCTCGCCGCGAGGAGAAGAAGGTTTCTCGGAGTCAACGCGGGACCTTATAGTTCATGTTGTTCCTCTTGTGATGCCTTCAGCTAGTAGTTGACTCGATGTCGAGAATACTCGCTGTCGAGGAATGCTGTAGATTCCAAGACAGCCCTGTGCTCTGTAGAAGAATCAACTTGGATTGAGTCCGTTGTGTTCATCGCTATATTTGCCAGTCGATCAGCCATTTTGATGTAGGCGCGATAGGGATGGCCTCAGTTGGAAAACTCAAGATTGTCCACAAAGGCACATGCCTCCCGCAATAGCGGCACTAAGCTAGCTTTCTTGAGAGATAGAGAGAGGAACAGACCGTCTATTATACGATATTATGGTGTACAAGACGTCTGGAAAGACCTAAGCCAGGATAGCAACGCCGGTGTCGGATGATCCGGTGGTTTTACGTGACTCACCGCTGTGTGCAGTGCTCTATATGGGGCCATGGTGAGCAGTCCAATGCATTGCATCAGACGAGTCCCGGCCACCTGGGTGTGTAGCTGTCTACGCCCTCGCAGCGCTAGCGCGTGTAATTGCCGAAAACTTAAAACTGTGCATTCGTGGATACATCCCGCCAAAGTGACGGAATGCCCTTCGTGAACGACCCGATTGCGTTGCAAACCCATAACGTCGTGATACATATAGAACAGAATACCCACCACATCCGCTTCCATCGACATGCATATGCCTCCATCGAATGTCCAAACGCGCTCAGCAGCCGCCGAGAAATGATCGGATGTAACGGCGGGGACTTTCGTGACATGCAAAAACTCGCATAATGCTGCACGCTAATCGGCATCCCCGAGCATCCGGTCCAGTAGGTAATGAGCGCCTGCCAGCAACCCTGGGCTACTGGACAACCACAAAAGATGTGATCCAGAGTCTCTCTCTGCCCGTGACAGACCGAAAGTTTTCGACAGCAGTTATTTAGCTCCCCGACCTGGGCTATATAAATTGAGCTGATGCAGCGCCATTCGGTAGTAAAACCACACTTGATACTCGGTGATCGCGTTGCGGTGGCGCCAAAACTCTCTCGGTGTCTGATTGAGGGCCGCACAGTATCTTTCGTTGCGTTCCGCCGATTGCTGTAACCGGAGGAGAACACCATTAAGCCCTTTCCCATAGTCCCCTTCAACTCGCTGGTAGGGTTGTCTTTTCAGATGACATAGCGCTTGGAGATTCGATAAAGCGTCAGGAACTACCCACGGAAAACCGTGGATGGCGGGATGTGCCGCTACGACGAGGCCATTGTCCCGTTGAGCTTGGTGGAGGACCTTTATATCCGACCAGCCGTCCGAGTAGGTTACCGACGTCTCGGCTATCGTCCAGTGGAAGCCGTCTGGCTGCCGATGCAGGACTATTGTCCCCTGTGTGAGACCCGTTGATAGGGTCGACACCCCGTGAACTGTCCCGTCATCCATCACGAACCAGCTATACGGCACCCTGAGCTCCGGCTGCTGCCGGAGGGTAACTGCACTCTGCACCTCGCATTTCTCAGCTATGCGTAACGTCGGGCTACCGAAAACAATCGCGAGCGCCCAGCGCATTAGTTTCCGATCCGAGTGATGAGCCGGCGCCCCTGGAGCCAAAGGGACTCTAAACGAGTACACTCCAGGTCCCGTCCGCTCGGTCTCCAAGTCGGCCAGCGCACATGACCGAATTCGGTCATATCTGCGCTGTGTCAGTTTGTTTCCGGTACCATCCCGTATCCAGGGGTTGTCCGCCCACTGGAAGGTTGGCCAAAAACGTCGTGTTTCGGCTGGAAATGGACAGGGTGGCGGAGGCAACGGGGCATTCAACGAAATTGTCAGCCGATCCCCGTCTCGCCAGCCTAACGTCTGAGCGATGAGGAGTGGCATGTGTGTGGCATGATGGTCCATTAGGACCGAAAGATCTAAGGGTTGTGGGCGAAGCCATGTCCCTAACTCGACCCTTAAATCTGCCCATGGGATATGGTGTTTCGTGTGTTGGAAAAGCCCCGGGTCTCTCGGTGTAATGATCGGCTCACCGTGTGAGAGAGATCCCCGAAAATTCCCAATATTTCCAGGCCACTGCGTACCGATCGGACCGCTGTGTCAACCACAGAAGTGCATGTTTAATGCGTTGCGCTTTCACCGCCACTGGAATCGAGATTAATCCAATGCCGCCTGCTGCTCGCGGCGTGTATAATAGTCCCGGATTGACTTTGTGCCGACTTGTCTCCGTTGATAACGAGTGACGCCATAGAAATTGTTTTTGGAGACTACGGAGCTCTCGGTCCGCCCAAGCAGGCGTGTCAAACACTGCCGCAGTGAATAGTATTCCAGGCAACAAAATAACATTCAGAATCTGCGCCCGGAACGTCACACTGGTCGCCAGACGGGTCGCCGTAGCAAGCCGCCTCTGCACCGTTCGTATCCGGACAGCCCAATTGGCGTCTGCCAGATCACCAGTTCCGACTTGGTGCCCGAGGTATCGAGTCGTGGCACCCGATTGTAAAACAGGTATACCTTTATAGCTGGTAACTGACACCACCGTGTTCAAGAAGATCACTTGACTTTCGGATGGCTGTACTGTAAGACCTGACAACTTCCCAAAAGTAGCCACGAGGTCGAGCACTCGTGGAAGCTGTCGGGTTTCCTGGAGGAAGACCGTCGAATCATCCACAAACGCTGAAAAAAACATGACGCTCTGATGACGACCCGGGCCCATGACTCCCGTAAGGCCGGGATCCTGTGTAATCGCTAGTGCCAAGACCTCCACCGCTAATACAAATAATAACAGCGCGAGAGGGAAGCCCTGACGAATTCCCGTGTTGAGCTCCATGGACTCAGATAATTGACCATTGACCAGAAATCGTGCCGTCGTGCTGTCATGAAGCTTGCGGATCATCGAAACGAAGGCCGGAGAGAACCCAAAGCGTTCCAGAACAAGAAATAGAAAATCGCGAGCGACCGTGTCGTACGCCTTTCGGAAATCTAATAAAAAAATTACCCGGCTATTCTGCGCGGTGACATCTTGTTCATTCTGGGCAGTAGCTAAGACTGCCAACATCATCATCACTGTTTTCATCATGTGGCGATCATGGACGAATCCTTGCTGTGTATCGCCTATTGGTTTCGTCAGAACGCGTTGCATTCGTGTAGCCAAGACTTTTGCAAAGAGCTTGTACCCTGTTTGTAGCAACGAAATTGGCCGATAATCCATGGCATCGGCGGAGTCACCTTTCTTACGAAGTGGGATGATGAGTCCATCCAGAAATGAAGAGGGTGGGTCTTTACCTGCCAGAAGTTCGTTACCAATTGTTACCATGACCGGTGATAACAGAGCTTGGTTGTCAATATAGAAATCATTATTAAGACCATCCGGCCCCGCCGCTTTGTGTCTGCTAAGACCAGCAAAAGCCGCGATCATCTCAGGTAATTGAATTGGTTGGACAAGGTGATAATTGTCCAATTGTGTCATGTGTCGGTCCGCTGGTATCCGCAAAAAAGCCGTAAATGCGTGGTCTAGTGAGCTCGTTGGGATTGTGTTATGACTGCACTTAAGTATAGGCTGCCATTCCGTCGCAAAGCGGTAAGCAGTACAGGCTTGACGCGCAAATGGTACCCCGTGAAGATGTCGTAAGCCAGTTACCGTCTGGTCCGCCTCCCAGTCGGAGACCCGCTTAAAATTCCACCGCAGTCGATCAGTCGTTCGCTCCAGTCGATTCCCCGCCGCAATTAAATGTCCAGCTCGTAAAGAGTCCTGATTGGCTTGGATAAGCTGCTTTCTGAAACAGAGTCCGGCACGTGCTTGAGCTTGTAATCGGTTAGCATACCGTGTACTACGCTGTTTATGTTGCTTCCGGATGGTCCGAATCGCCGCGACGCACGTGGTGATCATATGGTCCCAGGTACTCGCTGTGACTGACCGCCCCACTTCGTTATTGATCATCTCCGCCAATAAATCCGCCTTGACTCTCGTCGCTTGGGAAGATCTAATGGGGTAAGTGACCACGTGCCTCTTGTTAGTGATCGGAATATTCCACATACTCTGCGTTAGTAGGAGCGAAACCTGCTGATGATCAGAGTCGACAGGAGGAGCTGAAACCACAACCCATTGCACCCCTCGATGTCCACTGGTGCGGAACGTAAAACCTGTCAATTCTGCTTGCTGTGGATTGAGTCCAGTAAGTAAAATATTCGGTTGGGTCGGGAGTATCCACATCGTCGAGTGGTGTTGCTAGAATGCGCGCATCGGTGAGTCCCAACCTGGTGATGAGGTCAGCAAGCGCTGCACTTTCCGGGCTCCCCGACCTGCGACCCCCGAGCCGATCCAATACTGGACTTTGAACAGAGTTGAAGTCGCCCGCCAGGACTACTGCGCATGACGGCCATGGCCAGTGCAGCAGCCGGGAGAAAAATTCTTCGCGCTCGTGGGGGGTATTAGGGGCATAAATGTTAACTAACAAGACCCCCGCTAGCATCAAACCTGCAGCGCGTTCCGTCCATAGTTCTGGGTGCCAAGGAGTTGCATCTGAATCACGGCTAGGATCCAGTAAAAAGCCACCCCTCCGCTTTTTCCATTCCCGACACTCCAGTAAGATAGAGGGGACCCGTCAAAACGTGAAGTGTACCCCCCCACCGCCGCCCCCAATCATATCGAAGCTTATCCGCTAATTCCACGCTGTCGACATGTGTTTCTTGCAAACAGCGCACGATGGGTCTATTGTTGGTAGGACCTCTTTGCCATGCCTCCATCCACCGATCACGAGTCGTTTCCTTGAAATCGCGGACATTTTGTGTGTCGACACACACCACCCGCTTACTTTGACAAATGACATCATGGGTGACCGTTTGGACCATAAAACCGCCTTTGAGGCGATAGTGTGTGCCATAGACATCAACGTCCGCCGGGGCACTAGCTAGCCGTAGATGCCGGCGAGCTCGGCGTTGACGGTGGTGTATGCCCTTAGTAGTGAAGAGTCCGCTGAGGACTCATCTGGGCGAGCGCTTGCTCAGAAAACGTCTCTAATATCGACCAGTCCGCAGAGGCGATCATGGCTGCGTATGCCTCCCGATACGGTTTATTAATCTTCAGCCCGGCAAAATGCCGTCGCAACCGCGTCTTAACGCCGTTATCAGGCTCCTCGTCGCTGCCCGTTAGTGCTCTAATTTCGTCGTGATAGATCAGCACACATAAAATGTGACGCGCTAACTGCGTCTTGTGATGCACATCGCAACGGCGTAATAATTCATCGCTGGTACAGCCCCTGTCACGTAAACGGCGCCAGTCATCACTATTGTCAATTAAAGGAGACAGCATGGAACCCGCTAAGCGCCGTGACGTCCGCCCCTTCCAATCGTCAAGCCAGATCTAAGTATCTTTATCTGTTGTACGGCTTCGGTAAGCCATTATACAGGAGTACATACACTCTTGTCGCCAGGTCGCGGTCCATGTCTGTACGGTTTCATCACTCAAGATCGTCGATAATGCACTTTTATGCGGAAATCGTTGAATCATCCGGAGAAGGAGTCTCGATTCCACTTTCGCCGCTTGAACCCACTGCGCAGGCGAACTGTAAACTATGGGAAAAACGACCTTCGACTGTTTTGGCCATTCCGACGCTAAATCTAGCCACATTTCCTGCCACTTCTTGCTGCTCTCGAGTTGCAATACCTTGGCCGGACCTGCTTCGAGGAGCAGCCTGTCGTTGGTGCTGCTGCCTTTTTTTATTACTAGAGCAGTGGGTTTGTTTCGAATAATCACAGCCTTCTTTTTGCGTTCATCTGGTGCCAAGACGTGAGTCCTCGTTGCAGGCGCGCTCGATTGAAATGCTCGTGGAGATACCCGCAACGACAGAGCTGTGGAACTCCCGATAACGCCCCTTCCAGCCGCCGGGTCAGCGCTGGTTGAGGTGCGTGGTACATGAATCTGCTGAAGTGGTGAAGGCGGGGCGGAAATCGCGGCTTGAACGTTATCATTCCGCTCTAAATCTTCATATTGGTCGGTCGCCTCGATCGGCTCCGCTGCTTCCTTCATTTCCTCATCACTATCACTTACGATATCACTCATGTCTTCACCGGAGGAATTACCACGGTCGACGTTGCGCTCATCCCCGTAGCCTTGTCCAAAGTCGGCAGCCGGTGGACAAAGGCAGAGTAGTGGTCATCCTCGTACTTAAGGATCAACGGTGGTGGGCTTGACCTATCACCTTTGACTGCCCTTATCTTCTCAACACACTCTTGAACGGTGAAAATAATTTGCTCTCCCGTTTCAATAACCCGACGGGCCTTGGTCATTGAACTAGGCCGATATAACCCACAGTGCCAACACTGCAACCCGTCAGTCGCTTGACAAAAAACATAGATTGTTTGTTGAAGGAAGTTCGCTGCCATAGTCAGCGTCTCACAGCCTTTCCAATAGTGTCGGTCCAACATTGTAGTCGGGTCAGTGAGACTGGACGCGTATTCTTCGAGGTACCATTTAAACTGTTAAATAGCTTCACTCCTCGGCATATCCATCCAGCCTCTGGCAACGTTCACCAAAGTGGTCACTCGGGCTTGGTGGCTAAATTGATCCATCATGTGCATCTGTCCCGTGTATTTAATGCCTCTTTTAAGCTAGATGTAGCGGAGAGGAGGATCTTATCTCGGTGGCGCAAATCGTTGTTAGCGAGCGCCTGGACCAATGCCATGGCCAAACAATTCCCGTTCGCCGGAGTCTGAACAGGCAGACTATTCAGCTGCTGTTGGATAATATCGTACGACCCGGACCCCAGATCTACGCCATCCGGCAGCCGCGGCTATACACGAGATCCACAGTAACCCTCCACTTAAGCGATATTCCTGAGAAGCTCGGTCCGTTCCTTCTGTTTTAGCGCCACTAATGGAGGCGTCAGCGAAAGCTTCGGTGGTGTTTTCTTTATCAGCCGAAGCTGGACCGTAGAATCCGTATCCTTGTCAGAGTGTCGTACGGCCGCGTGCGCTCCTGCACCGCTCGTATCAGGCTCTTCGAGAGCAGAAAAAGGTGCAGAAACAACCGCCTCTCGTCCTCTTCGACGTCGACCTCATGTTGGTCGGCCAGTACGGCATACCGCGATGACAAAAATGCACGCCGGCTAGATAATGTCTTCGTAGCACTTGATGCCTTCCGTCCCTGAGGAATAGAGACTGTCACCCATTATGGCCTAGGCTTAGGTTTGGGCTGCGCAAGTGGTGTTTGTCCAGACTGGTCAGGAGGGGCGGTTGAACGACCACCAATTCCGGACGCCGCCACGATACGACCATCACGACCGTCGGAGTTGACGCAGTCCACGGCAAGCGTGAGCACCATAACAGAAGGGGGCTGGACTGCCTGTGCAGAGACCGTATCTGCTTGGTCTTGAAGGCGTATACGCTGGGCCGCGATGTCGCACATCTCGGCAAAGCTACGGAAAGGAACAGCCAGATCCTCCAGCTGCGACACCTCTTCCTCGGAAGCCAAAATACTGCCGGGGCCACGCAGCTGCTCCGTCGAAAATCCACACCTTGCCATAGTATGGCCTATGTTCCCGAACCGTAAACATTGCAGCCTCTTCCCCACTTCGGGGTGTTTGAGAACAATTACTGTACCAAACCATAGCAGGCGCACCACATCACGTAGAAAATTGGGGCAGCCTGCTAATTGGATCGTCAGTCGCCACACCGTTGATGTCCTAGAGTCCGGTGTGCACGTGTCCAAAGGTTCCAGATCAAATTCAGGACTAATGTGGGCCGTCAAGAATGCTGTAAAGCGTCCAATGTCCATGTAGCGCGTAACATTGTAGAGTCGAATAACATGCTCAGTCTGCATCGTGAGGCGAGTGCCATCGGCTCCGACTTGGCGATCCCACACTGAACCAGAAGTAGGTGCGTGCCGATTGTGGAGGCGGTAGATTTTCCGACGGAACGGCACGAGTGTGTTCTGAAATTTTGTCGCCGTAGCTCGCTGAAAAAGTGAATGTTAATCGACTTCTGAACCGTGTTGTACCCGATTGTCTTCGCCTGACTGAGCATGGTGTGCAGTGCCTGTAGATTCACCTTCAACCCTTCGGCCGCCAGCAGTATGTCTTCCTTCAGTGCCTGGGTATGCTGTCGACTGGATGGGAATTGCTCCTTGCCCAGCCAATGAGAATGATAGCTCTACTTCGACTTGCAGCTGAATGGTCGACTGGAGTCGCAATCGATCTTTCGCATTTAACACTTTCTTGATAAAGTGTGGGCATGAGCGGCTCACAATGTGACCCCCCGCCAGTCCCTGAATGATTTCCCACTCTTCATCCGTACCATCCCGAAGCCGGGTACCCGTGGAGCGCGTGTCCTGCGCTTCACACAGTGAACGGAGCCGAGCAACAATAGCCGCAGCATACTTTTACGGATTGAACATATACTGCTGGTAATGTTCTCGAGCAGGGAGAGTAAGCTAGCTTTCTTTGGGGGATGATGTGTCCGAAGCTGTGAGAGCACTATCGCAATATTTTCGACGATATGCAGCTGGGCGTAGCCAGACACCTTCGAGTAACGTGGACCATGCACAAGCCCTCATTATTCAGCTGTATTGTTTGTGATGTCGGCAGCGCTGTACACCAAGCTCAAACCCCACAGAGCTCCAGCGGCGTGCGTCACAATGTTGAGTTGGACAATAATGGACCAGATCCGCCTGGTCCTGGGCTTCCTAAAGATCCACCGTCGAAGAATAGAAGAGGTACCATCCCCAGGCACCAAAGAATGGGCAACACTTTCATCACCAGTGGTTCTTGACGCAGAAGAGCGTGGCAGCCGAAGCTGACCTCACTCGCTCGAACAGATCTCCGTCTCTTTTTCATGTCCAGCTGGTATATAGACCCCTCCAAATCGGGTCATACCACGTGGAAATTGTGTCTTGGCTCTGGCGATGTGTGTCTCCTCCGGCAAGGACAACACTTCCAGATTTACGCTTAAGTACGCAAACAAACAGCGTGGCACAAGGAAGGGTGCCAACACCTAATGAGCCCTGCAGCAGACAGAGGGATGCGGGTCGGGTCCTTACTCCCGATCGGGACGTCCGGTACGCGCGTGCACTGGGCACAGGTGCCGGGTCATCTCGTAGAACGTGAATCAGTCGCCCGTGTCGGGGACGGCGCACCCGTGCGAACCGAGACCACAAGCGAGCCAATCCCGTACTTAAGGGTGCGGCTGGTCGATGTTCGTACGCGGCTGCGGTGACCGGCCCCGGCGTACCTAATTGCTACGTCGAGGGTGTCCACTATCCAAGCACTGTCGGTGGCATCTCCGAGCATCACGACGATAGAGCCGGCGAATGCTCGCCGGCCTCATGAGTTCCTAGCTGTGAAGTCCACTGCTTACTGAGGAAAAGCGTACCTAGCGATGACGGCCAAACTTTGCTGAGCAATGGCGCACCTAATGGCGCTGTCGAATGCTTTACGGCACGATGCGCTCCTATGATTGACTTCGACTATTTGCCTGGCGGGCATCTGTCTTGCGTCGACGAGCTCATGGAGCCCGCACGTGGACTTACACCCAATTCAGGTGGAAGTGCCACATCTGGTAGGGGTATCGAATCCTTTCACGATCGCAGTGGTGTGTTGGTTCGTACAGCCACGAGGGCGTGGAAAGAAAAAGCGGAAAACGATCTGCTTCCGATGATACCACTGGAAGAAGACGCGCTGGAAGCCTGGATGATGAGTGGTCTCGTTTTTTTGTTGCCGCCAGGGTTCTTGGTGTGTACGCATCCGCGTGCTATACGAATTGTGATGCTTGACTTCTTCTGAAGCATACTTGGAAGGGAAAATTATTGCGATTGTACCTCCGTATCTACGAATGCCCAAGTACATCGCTGAGAAGACCCGGCTTCTCCAACTTTTGAGCGCAGTGAGGGGGAACCAGATCCGGATGTCTTCAGTCGGGAACTGGTCAAGGGGCCAAGCGGACTAGTTACGACGCCGGTACGAGACAAGTGACTTTCATTCTTCCCGATCAAGCGGCTGCTACGAGTTGGCATGAAAAATTTAGTTTGTCTCGTAGGAGCTCCTTCAGCTTTTGTGTCCCGCTATTCTGGATCACGACGACATTACTGCTTCCTCAATACCGGCAACAACAACTGGTCGTAACATGTTACATAATCAAATTCGGGTTCTCATCAATGGAGTGGCGGCGAGCACAGTTCTAGCCATTTTGGAGTCCAGTGTGTCCTGTGAGGTAACTTCAGTGAGTCGTGGGTGCTCGCACGGCTCGGACGCGTACGGTTCCATTTTTTCGTGGCGACTTTCGACACGGCGCATGTCCCGAACAACTCAAGCTGGTTACGCATATCGCGACTTTTAACACGGAGCTCTTCCTCCACCGTTTTCGGCACTTTCAACGGGTCCCCCTGTTTTACATGCTAGTCGCCTTATCACTCGAGTACCAAGTGCGGTGGTCGCAAGGGCAGCTATCAGGCTGAGCACCACCGCGTTTTTTTTTTCGGTATACCACTGCGCATCAGCCCGTTAGCAGGTTTACTCTCGCTCACCATCGCAGAGAGATTGCGACACGTTACTGGGTTGGCTGAAACTTCGGCGGCAATGACGGAGCAGTTGAAGGTAGAGGGATACAAGAACTCCCTGTTGACCAAGGTTTCGCAGGTTCCCCACCAGCCCAGGAAACCAAGAGATAGCTCAGCACTTACCCCACCTGCTGGTAGAAAGACACCAGGTGCTACTGCTACTCGCACCTCTAGTCCGTCAATCGATGACTGGTTTGATCCAGGTGAACGAAAGAAAAAGCGGTACCCTATGGGAGCCTTCTCCAGGCCCTGCTGTGTCGTCGGTTCGTCACCCACTGTCGACTGCTGCTACCGGGACAATCAAGTCTGTTTAAGCGGTCTCGGCACTTCCCACCAAGCACAGCACACCGAACATGGATAAGTCCGACAAAAGATCATTACACCCGAACAAGGCAACGGTTCGTACGAAGGGCAAACCGGCTGCGGTGCAACCGCGAGGGCGGTTTATGAACTAGCGACCCTGTTGGGGGGAGGCAAACCGGTTGTCGCGGCATCTACAACAACAACCACGGCTGCCAATTCGTCTTTGTCTTCGAACTCCTCAAAAGGTAGGGCTCTTAAAGGCGGCTCGGTCAAGGGTAGAGGACACCCAAAGCGCGGTCGAGGAACTTGCTTCGACAGCTGCGGAGACGAAGCGCGATGCCGACACCAAACGTGCCTGCTACTTCGAGGCTCATACTCATGCACATGAAGATTCCATTGCTCGCAATACAGCGTCTCGTGAGAAACTAACTTCTATCGCCGAAAAAATTTCTGAATCACTAAAGATGGAATACGATTATCGGATCGCCGGTGCAGCGGCGACACGCGCTATGGCGGAAGCAAATAAAACATTGTCACGACGACTGGCAAAAAATACACCGAACCGGACGTCTGCGAGCGATCTTAAGGTTCCGCATGTTGCGACTTCCCCTCACGAATTGCCTACTGCGATGGCGGAAAGACTAGGAAGAAGAGTCGCGCGACCATTGAGCGCTTGTTGTCGTCTTATGTTCGCCTCAGGCATGGCTTGCCGAGTGCCACCACTGCGACCCCTCCACGAACGGGGCCCGCTAGAGCGGAGCCTCCCACTTCTGTCCCGGCTAGAATGCATTCTGCTTGCCCTCAGGATTCTGACAAGCAACACGCTTGGGCTCGCGATGTTACTATGGCCGAAAGAACGGCCACTTTTGGAAGCACCATGCACATGGCTGATCTGGCCGGAGGAGCGGTAACTCCACCATCCTGTGCCGCCAGTGTTCCCATTCCGGCGGAGGTAGCTAAGGAGATTGAAGACGAGCTCATGGCATCTTCCGGACAACACGAAGTCCCAGTACAAGTTCCTTTTTCGCTACCGTCGCATAAATCCCATGCCGGGCAGACCAGATAAACCCAGATCGTGGTACAAAGTCCGATGGATCACTTCCACAACCCGCATACTCACGTTCAGACATTACGTGCAATTCGAGTGCGCAAGGTCCCGGACACTGCGTCTGCTGCAGTCGCAGCTACCGCCGTCCCGGATAGTACGAAACAAATTGCTGCAATTACAACTGTGATTCGGGCATGAGTCATCTAGCATAAAGTACGGGCTGCCCTACCGACTACTATGCCTGATCCAAAGGGACAAACTGCGTGGGTCAACTCGTGCGTGCTGGACCTGGCAGCAATGGTCAATGGTCTCCCGTACCCGGTTGCTTACCTAGCATCTATGACGGGAAAAACTTTGCGAGCTTTTGGACATGCAATAAACAGCGAAACTTAACTGGCGGTAATTCGTCAACACACATCACAAGCAGATGCAAAACTTCGAGAGCCGTGCACAGGGTGGGCCGCGACGGCTGATGGGCAAACTGGACAAATTCGATGAAAAGCGACTGACAATATCCAACGATGGCGACGCTTCGGCAAACTACAGCCATAGTTATTGAGTCCTACGGTCGTCCAACCGCTTGACGACTTGGATCATTGGGGGAGTTCTTAATGTCCTGTGTACGCTACTCCCTAAGCTTGCACCTGTTGAGGAGTAGACGAACGTGGTGATGCCGCAGACAAAGGCTGCACTATACCACCTCTCAAGCGATGTGCGCGCGGCCGTCTCCAGTATTACATGCAAACCTGCCAACTGGCAACCAGCGGTTGACCTTATCACCCGCGATGGTCAGCTGCAGTACCCTCAGCACTGAGGGCATCTCGGATGCGGTCGAGGACGACTCGTCAATGAGTGTGGTTTCATGTCTTTCCTCTCATGATCCTTCAGAGCGAAGTCGTCCGATCGACAATATTAGGTATACTCCAGCTCAACGTCACACTGACGGACTACATCGACGTCTTCGTCTCCTTTTGCTTAAGACATTCCGGCGTCCGCACGAGAACAGCATCGGTCTCCATTCACAGAACGTCGCAGGATTTTCCAAGCTCCCAGAACGATGCACAGAATTGTTAAGTCACTTTAGATAGCGTGAAACACGTGGGACCCTTGACCTAATCCTTCTACAAGAAACACGGGTCGGTATGGATGAGTCGGCAACTTTGAACCATCTCTACAATTCTACGTGGGGATTTGTAAACAAGCCAGGGTATACGCGATGGACAGAGTCCGAGCACCCTCACGGAGGCGTGGCTATTTTTGTGAACCTGTACTCTTCAATTACGAACATGGATCCGTGGAATGAGGATCACTGGACACCGCACTGGATGGCTGCACGTATTGCCATTATGGGCGACCCCGTTCTTGTGGTCAACGTTTATGCTCCGAGTGATAAGACTTCACGAGAGGCGCCTTTTGAACGGCTTCGACTTCTGCTTCTGGATTACAAAGGACCTATGTTCATAGGAGGAGACTTCAACTGCACTTCGGTTCAGATACTTGACCGTACTTTGTCTCGCCACCGGGCAAACATGATTCTATGTGGCTCAGGAGGCTTCTCGGTCGGGCACAGCTTAGCGATGTTCTTGAAGATGCAATGGAGCTAGCCGAAGAAGACAGAGCCAAATCAGATTTTCAGGCCGCGGCTCACACTTATTAGTACGCGTTGCCAGGCGGTGAATCGGCTAGTTCACGCCTAGACCGATGACGTGTGAGCTCTTCACATGCTGATTGGATTCGAGACATCGATATGTCGGTGCCTGGTCCAGCAGCTGATCACAATGAAATCATTATACGGATTTGGGCTCCACGTTATGTGGTGCGCGTACGTAAACCAAGGCGGGTCTATCCCGTTCCTGGATGTGCGCGGGATAACGCGAACAAAGAAATTAGTGCGTCCGTTGCGCTAGCACAGCTTCAAGTCGACAAAATTACCTCCGTTCCAACGTCGGACTATCGCACAGCGCGCAGTTCGGCCATCTGGTGGGATGAGTGGAAGATCAATCTCTGCCAGATTCTTTTGGCGACAACCAAAACCGCCCGGCAAGGTCTGACAAAACTTTATAGGCAGCGGCTGAGTCGTCTATATGCCCGCTTTGATGCGGCGCTACTGGAGGCATGTTCACCAAATGTATCACCAGCGAGTGCCTACGAGAGCGGCGGTCAATCTAGCTTCGCTGACCCTTCGGCGGATACTCCTGTGGATCTTCGACGTAGCGTTTCCGAGTGTCGACGTTACTGGCAGCGTACCAAGAAGGAGAGACTTCTTCTTCAGCACACATATTCTACTTGAGAGACATCTCGCCGTTTCTACGCCCGTTTGTCGAGTAAATTTACAGACAACACCATCGTTTCTTTGGGAGGAAAAGCCGCATATGGTCCGAACCCGTCTCAGGAACTGGCTGATGAGATGGCTGACGGTTGGGAACGTACTATGACTCATGATTTTGACTTTCCCGAAGCAACCTCCGCATTTTGGCCAGGGAATCCCCACCGAACCGAGTTAACGACTCCAATGTGACATCAGACATTGATCAAGAAGATGTGAGCGCGGCCTTGAGAAGCGGCTAAAACGCGGTAAAGCCGCGGGTCCGGATGAGCTTAACAGTACTTTTTACAGAGATCACGCGGATGTTCTCGCGCCTGTACTCGCCGCATTGTACACCAGATAGCTAAAGTGCATCGTCTTCCCGGCGTGGGTTGGTGAAGCGAACATGTAATGTCTGAAAAAGACGTCGGATTCCGCCATGCCACTTGATCATCGCCCAACAGCGCTGCTCAACAGCGACAACAAGTTATTAGCCAAGATTCTAACATTTCGAATGTGTCCGATGCTCACAAGTCTCGTTCTTTCAGCCCAAGTTGGTTTTGTCCCGCATCGTTCAATCCATACGGCTCTTGATATTTTTACTGCGGCTCGCACAGCCGCGGCTTTAGACAGTGATTCACATGGTTCCATTGTCCTGCTTCTCGATTTTGCCAAGGCGTACGACACGTTGCTACGTCCCTATCTACTTGCGGCGCTTACGTGGCTTCTCTTTTCACCTCAATTTGTATCAGACGTGGCGGCGTAACACCATGATACTACCTGCCTATTTCTGGTCAATGGTTACTGCTCAAGTCGCAGAAACGCTGTCTGAGGTATTCGGCAAGGTTGTCCCCCGGCCCTACTTCTCTTTATTCTTGCACTTGATAGTGTATACAGGGTGATTTAAGAAAGGAAGGACATTCTTGGGGTACCTCTCACGACTGGACGACGTACTACCGAGTTCAAAGTCTCGGGATACGCTGACGAAACCGCTGTATACCTTCGCGATCGGTCGGCAGTTACAACTTTCGTAACTACTCTCGATGACTTTGCCAACGTTTCGGGCCTCCGAACAAATTGAGCAAAATCGATGGTTATTGAGCTGGACTCTCGTGTGTCATCTCTACCACTCGACACCTGTGGCCTCACTGCACAGTCTTTAACTGCATCGTGCAGGTGTCTTATTGGGTCAACAGGATGCGATGGTTCAAAATCGGAACAAATGCATACGATCTCTCTGGAGCCGGCTTGCATTAGCCCGGGAGAAAACTCACACGGTGGAACAACGGGCTAGGATTGCCAGCGCTGTTGCGGTGCCCATTAACCTTCTAAGCTCGACACTGTTGGCCTCCTCCGGCCGTGTTTACCCGGTCGCACAGCTTGAGTATGGACTTTGTATGGAGCGTCCGCGATGGCAAGAGGTCCCGACAATGGATTCCCTCCGATCTGGCGTCTCTCCCGATCCAGCAAGGGGGATTAGCCTTACCTGTATTCGAATGGAACTAATGACTATGGCTGTAACGGGGTGAATCGTTACATAACAATTTATAAGAAATTGTTAATAGAATATAACTATAAGAGTTATATTCTCAGAATATTGTCATAAGGACAATATTCTGTAGCACTTCCAAGTAGTTCCTAATTGGTTGATATAGGCCATTATATCAACCAACGAAGACGCGCCACGACAGACGCACGCAATGAGTGGTGAGCAGATAATTGATTTACACATTTGTATTTAGACATAGTTAGATGAAGATAAATAGTGATTTATTGCAGACATTAACTATTATAAATACAGTTCTACTTTTTACTCTAACCGAGTACTCGCTTCTTCTTACCGTCTTCCTCTGCACGTACGAGTGTACGTGAAGTTACGAGGCACCGCCTTATTCTGTTATCAGAATAAGTAGCTTGTACTGTCACCAGTACAAGCTTCAGGGTGCCCCGTTACACCTGGTAGCACTTCGTAGTCCGTCCAAGGACTGCGTTCACATCCAACATGAATATGTTGGATGATGAAGATGACCAAAGCTTTCACGCTACGCGTGACGGCTACTCCCATTTGAGCGATGTCGAATGGGATGCGGTTGAACGAATGGGTTCGACCATGGGCATCCATGCTGTTAGCGTCATGCTAGAGGCTCTCAATAGAGATGCCCAACATGCTACTCATCGCCAAGTTCATTCAAAATGAACTTGACGCAGAACGCGAGAAAGTAGCCTTGCTTCACCAACAAGGTTCTCAACAAGCAGAGTTGTTGAGAGAACAAGGTGCTCAACAGTTTGAACTGTTGAGACAGCAGCAGGCTGCTGCTGGCGGGTCGATGCACTCGCGTCGACCCGAGACTTTGAAGATTGACATCTCAAAGTATAGAGGGGTCGAAGAAGACTCCCTCTTGAGATGGTTCGTCGAATTGGATGACGCCATAAGGGCGCGTCGCATCGACGACGGGGATATGCAAGTTGCATTTGCCCAGTCAAATCTGGCAGGACGTGCCAAGACTTGGGCACTGGGGCTCAAGCTGCACGACCCATATGCGTTTGGGTCGTTGGAAGTCTTCAAGTCGCGGCTCAGACAAACGTTTGAACTGCCTAGAGCTGAGTTCAGAGCTCGAACCGAACTCTTGAAGCTCAAGCAGGGTAAGCGTGATGTGCACGCTTACGCTCAACATATACGACATCTCACGAGTTGTATAAGTTCCAATCCGGTGGATGAACACACGTTGGTTTCGGTGTTCATGCAGGGTCTTGCGGATGGTCCCGTCAAGACTCACCTGTTCCGGCTTGAACTAGATTCACTAGAACAAGCCATTTCAATTGCGGAGCAGGAAGACTTCAGTCTGAGACAGGCTCGCGCCATGCTCGACATCATATCGTCAACCGAGACGATATGACAACGGAGGTCCAGAGCCGATGGAACTCTGTTATGTAGAGAGCGAGAAGGCTCGCTCTACAGGCTACAAGAAGTTGCAGAGATGCAACAGATGTCAGAAGACAGGACACTACGCTTACGAGTGTAGTGCCTCTCGTCCAGTGTCTCGCGACACTGGGCGTAGTGACCGTCCACCCATGAGAAAGGGGCAGGGACGAGGGTCCGCAGTTGGTGCAAAGACGCAACAACGGGATGGACCGTCAAAAACGGACAGGATCAGTAGGTGCGGAGCACCCTACTGATCCAGCAACGTCAAGAGAATTTGTAGGCCTCTTGATGAAGGTTGCTCCCAACACACAGACATTGTGCGTTGCTGCTCTAGGTAATGAGATCTCACTCATTGCTTGAAACTCGAAGTGACGAATAAGTTGTCCCTTCGAGCTCTAGTCGATTGTGGGGCGTCCAACAATTTTGTGCGACGCCAATCGCTAGAAGATGGTCACTTTAAATTCAGTGAATGTGACACACCTCCTACGAGGATGACGGTACGTCTTGCGACAGGCGCATCCGTAACCGTCATGAAGCGTATAGTGAAGATTCACTATACGCTAGAAGATACCCAATACGACGATGACTTTATCGTATTGGATTTGGATGACAAATTTGATGTCATCCTGGAATACCGTGGCTCAGAAGGTACGAACCACGGGTAAACTGGCAACATCGGACAGTAACGATGCCTGCCGCTTGTTCATCAGATGGCCATCTGATGAACGTTTTGGAGCGTCCACAAGCGTGTGGATGTACTACGAGTGAGTGCGATGGCCTCACTTGTGGTACGGTCGTTAGTACGACTGCACAAAACCTTAGTGTACCAAACGGTTACACTTCGGAGCAAAGTTCCGGCGGCTGTGAGGAAACACAGGCTGCGCCGAAGGTCCACCACTCGAATAAGTCGGGTGGACTGGGACAAAGATGTATCCCTAGAGGGGAACATCTAGAAGAGAAACAATCGATCGCTCAGGTTAAGCGAAACGATAATCCTAGATCGACTGGAGAGTCTTTCGTAGAGGATCTCGCTGTGGTTGCGCAACCCCAGCTAGAGGAAGTAAAGGGAATAAGTCCCAAGATTACAAATACGGCGGAAATAAGTTCCCTGAAACCCGCGGGAATAAGTCCTCCGGGAAGACGAAGGAATAAGTCCTTCGAAGCCTGAGGGAATAAGTCCCCAGGAAATGACAGAGACATTGAATGTCATAGTCAATAACGGATCATGTGTAGGCGCTTATACACTTGATCTGATTGCGCCTCCGAAGTTAACTTCGGAGATCACTCAGTTGCCAACGCTCGAACATAAAAGGTTCTTGCGTGATCTGCGTAGTGGCAAAGTCAAGCAGATCTGCATACTCGTCGCTGACGACGAGATGTAACCGACATAAGGTCAGCAACAGTGTTTACTGAGAACGAGAGAGTTCTCAGTAGTTCATCTATGGACGAGAGTGTCCTAGATGAAAAGACACGAATTGAGCGATATGAGTCCCAATCATGGGAATCGCTCAAGGAAAACCCTCTATGAGGATTTGGTTGAATTCAAGGATGTATTCCCTGAAACTGTTCCGTGCGAATTACCGAAGGATAAAGGTATTCGACACGAAGTCGAGCTTAAACCAGGCTCGAAGTACTGTGTCATGAAGCAGTGGCCACTGCCTCGTGAACAGTACTTGCGATCGACAAGTTCTTTGCCGATCGTTTAGCAGCGGGCCATGTGAGGGAATCAACTTCCCCACATAGCTCTCCGACCTTCTGTGTGCGAAAAGCAACAGGAGGGTGGCGGATAGTGCACGCGTTTAACAAATTGAACGCTGCAACGGTACCGGCTCAGACGCCGATACCGAGGAAGGACGTAATCATTGATGGTATGTCAAAGAGTACCATCTTTTCGTCCATGGATTTGATGGATGGCTTCTATCAAATCCTAATGCGGGAACGGGATATACCCTATACCGCAGTTAGCACGCCTAGCGGCATGCTCTGGGAATGGCTAGTAATGCCACAAGGGCTCAGTAATGCCCCTGCCACGTTCAACAGGTGTGTATCACATCTGTTGAGGCCAGTACGAGAATTCGCGCCGAGTTATTTCGATGACGTATTCATCCATAGTCGAGCTATGGATGGAAAGTCGGACGTTGAGGTTCACAAGTACCACGTCCGACAAGTTCTTACAATCATGCGAAAGCATCAATTGTATGTAAACCTCAAGAAGTGTATATTTGCAGCAAGCGAAATACCACTTCTTGGGTGCATCGTTGGTAAGAACGGTGTACGTCCTGATCCCGAAAAGATCAAGGCGATCACCGACTGGCCTGTGCCGGTCGATGTCAAAGGTCTTCGAAAATTCCTTAGCTAGCGGCGTATTTGCATAAGTATTCACGCAATTACGCCGAGATGACTGTACACCTCTCTCGTTTGTTGAAAAAGAACGAGAGGTGGTTATGGAACGCTGAATGTCAACGCCTTTGAGGGTATCAAGCAGAGCTTGATACAATCCCCAGTCCTAGCAATAGCCGATCAGGACAGGCCATTTCATGTGGTCTGTGATGCCAGCGATTTCGCAATCGGCTGTGCATTAATGCAGTACGACCTTGAAGGCGTTGAACGCGTCGTCTGTTATCAGTCGCGTCAGCTGCAACCAGCTGAGCGGAACTATCCAGTGCATGACAAGGAACTCCTTGCCATGAAGTATGCACTCGCGAAGTTCAGAGTCTATCTATTAGGAGATAGACCTCTTCGTTGTTTACACTGACCATGCGTCCTTACGCACGGCAGTGAACAGCCCGCACCTTTCACAACGAATGGCGCGGTGGTTGTCATTCTTTGCAGAATACAACTTTACGGTCGAGTACAAACCAGGACGACTTAATGTCGTCGCTGATGCACACTCACGTCGTCCCGACTTTGAAACAGTCGCGAAACCCAACAGTGAGACAGTCACTGTTGCGGTTATGACGTCCTCAGTTCCATCTACAACGTTGTATGATGATGTGAGGCGGGCATACGCCCAAGATGGTGAGATAGTGAAGTTGTTGTCACATCTCTCCCAACCATCTCGAGAATCGTTGAAACGATTGTCGTCTGCGTATCGATCTGCATCAGATCGATACACTACTCGTAACGGTTTACTGTACTATACAGCCGTTTCTGGTGACACACCACGTGTTGTCATTCCAGATGATACTGATCTGCGTTTGCGGATCATGTTCGAGTATCACGATGCTCCTATAGGAGGACATCGTGGCCGAGAGAAAACATATCTCACGGTAAGTCGAGACTTTTACTGGCCCCGCCAGTATCAGTTTGTGCGAAAGTATGTTCGCGCATGCGAAGTCTGCCAACGAGTGAAGTCAAGTCCTTCACTGCGTGCACCTTTACAGCCTCTACCGGTTCCGGCTGAGTGCTGGGAATCCATCTCACGGATTTCGTCTTCGGGTTACCCAAAGACGCACGCGCGGAATACGGGTATTCTCGTATTTGTTGACAGATTCAGCAAAATGGTACACCTTGTGGCTGTACCAGAGACAATCACGGCAAGTGGCTGTGCTTGTGTCTTTATTGACACCATCTTCCGACTTCATGGGTTGCCCCTGTGAACTCGTATCAGACAGAGATCCACGATTCACTGCTGATTTCTGGCGTTCCGTGTTCAAATCACTCGGAACGCGCTTGAAGATGTCAACATCTGATCATCCAGAGTCAGATGGTCAGACGGAACGTGCCAACCGTGTCCTCGAAGAGATACTTCGAGGATACGTACACTCCTTTAAGAGTTGGAGTGAGTTTTTGCCAATGGTAGAGTTTGCCATCAACAACTCGGTGCATGCGTCCACGACACATACACCGTTTTACGTGAATGGCTTGCGCCATCCGCGTGTACCCACCTTACTAGAGTGTAACTCTGGTTTAAGGGGGGAGGGACTCGCGCGAGCAAAAACCGATTTGGTTCACGCTCATCACGCTCTGACGAAGAAGTCATTGCGTTTGATGCCGATATCGATAACATCGATATCGAAGAAGATGATGCCAGTGAGAGTGCGGAAGCCCTCACTGAAGACAATGATCCCAGTGAGAGTGCGGAAGCCCTCACTGAAGAAAAGGTTGTTGTTGCTGCAGTGCGCTCACAGCACACTGAAGCTAACGAGTCATCAGATGAGTTCATACTGGCTCGTGAAACGGTAGTCCGTTTTGTGCAAGACTCCATCGCCGAAGCGGTGGATAAGCAAAAGCAAAACGCTGACAAGAATGGAAGGGCAAACACTCTTTATTTAATAAAGGTGACTTAGTCCTACTGTCTACGGTTAATCTACCAAAACATGTAGTGACTAACTTGGGTAGCAGTAAACTACTACCCAAGTACATTGGTCCATTTCGTGTATTGCACCGCCTAGGCAATGCATACACGATCGAGTTACCACGTAAGATGCGAACGCATCCCACGTTTTACGTTGGTCGGCTTAAGCCGTACCATCAGTACGCTGCTTCTTCCGATGAAGAACGCCCTTGCGCTCAAGCATCTCGCAGAGAGCCTTGTGCTCCCGATGGTGGGCATCAACAAGGGTCTGAAGAGCAGTTATCTCAGCCCGAGACCGATCAACAATCCCACGAGCTACCCTTAGCTCGTCACGAAGAGATGTCAGAGATCTCTCGTTCTCAAGCTGAGCAAAGGCAAACTCAGCTCGATGCTTCGAGGCAGTGTCCACCATCTGGAGACGCCTATTCCGCTCATGCTCGAGATCGTCGCGTAACCCTTGCGTTACGCGATCAAAGAAGCTCTCGGGAACACACCGATCCACATGATCGTGTGGAGAGCGTCTTTCCTCCTCCTCCACCTCCATTAGAGGACTCTCGCGGTGGCCAGCGCTATCTAGTTGAGCAGCTGTTGAACCACCGCGACGTGAACGGACGTCGGACGAGTTACCTCGTCCGGTGGCGCGGCTATCCCCCGTCCTGGGGATTCTTGGGAGCCCCGCTCCCACTGATGGTTGACGTACTGGGTCTGGTCGAGCAGTACGACGCGACACATCCTGTGCCGCAGAAGGACCGCCGGAGAAAGTCTTCCCGGCACGGTCGTAAAGGGATTTCAGGTTGTCAATCCCTTCGTACATCTCAGTAGAGACACGTACGCGCCACCACGGGCTGGTAAGGAGGTAAGCCTCCTTAGGTGCTCGTGCAGAGTTGTTCACACAACATGGGCACGAGTCTCCCCAAGAGAGGCAGGGTAATCCTTTCTCCCTTGACAGACGATGCAGCTTATAGCGTGCACCTGTCGGGGTTCGCTTTTCAAACTTATCACGAGCTTTGATAAGTTTGTCGTTCCAAGCGTCACGACCTACATCCTCGAGGTTATGGATGTAGGCGTTCCACGCCTGAAGTAGTGAGGGACCATCACGTTTGTGATTCCCACTGTACCATCGATGTCTGAAGAAAGCATCGATGAAGAACTCATGTTCAGCGCGATAGTCTTTCGCGCTGGGGTCAAGGTGATGGATCTCTGACGAATCGAACAATCGTAGCCTGATAACGATCACTCGTCGTCGCCGACAAGTGATCCATGACAGATTTAGGAGGCATCCATGCCTTTTTTCTGGAGCGAGACGCAACACATTGCGGTCCCGCTCTTCCTGCGACGTGCCGACAGAAGTACTGGCACTCGCTGTGAAGTGGTGTCCATTGGAGAAACGACACCACTATTAGCGCCCGAGTCTCGCGACCTCGAGCGCCTTCGTTGGCGATGGTTCATCTGACTCATCAGATGAACCAAAGATGCTGCGACGCAAAGCATCGTCCATGCCACGCTTGGCAGGCGGCTTGGATTCAATTGCCGTCGATACGGATCCGTCATCCGTATCAGGAGAGTACGAGACACCGAGCTCGTACTCTGTGAAGACACGAGTGTCTTCATGACCAGCGCCTGCATCACCAGGTGATACAGGCTGAGTCGATTCAGCAACCGATGGGATATCAGTTGCTGTAGTTTCTGCTTCGGCGTCCGCACAGAGACGTGCAGACGCGCTCTCGGCGGCCTTGCTCGCGCATCGCATGGGCTTGTTTACCATGCGATGAGATGTTGGAAAGTGGACGCGGACCAACAAGTGCAAACCCCGTCCCAAATGATTTGGGACGAGTATCCATTTAGTCAATCAGTCACTAAAGTGACTGATGGTTAAGGGGGGTGATGTAACGGGGTGAATCGTTACATAACAATTTATAAGAAATTGTTAATAGAATATAACTATAAGAGTTATATTCTCAGAATATTGTCATAAGGACAATATTCTGTAGCACTTCCAAGTAGTTCCCTAATTGGTTGATATAGGCCATTATATCAACCAACGAAGACGCGCCACGACAGACGCACGCAATGAGTGGTGAGCAGATAACTGATTTACACATTTGTATTTAGACATAGTTAGATGAAGATAAATAGTGATTTATTGCAGACATTAACTATTATAAATACAGTTCTACTTTTTACTCTAACCGAGTACTCGCTTCTTCTTACCGTCTTCCTCTGCACGTACGAGTGTACGTGAAGTTACGAGGCACCGCCTTATTCTGTTATCAGAATAAGTAGCTTGTACTGTCACCAGTACAAGCTTCAGGGTGCCCCGTTACAATGGCGGCTACGGCGGTCGGTCAGTGGGCTGCTACTGTTTCTTCGCTCGATTTACTGATTGGTGGCTATTTATGGGGATGTACTGATACGGGGTCGGCATACATCACGCCTTGCTGAGCGAATGATAAGCACCTTAGATATCACGCGACT